TTCTTTATTTTTATTCAATTATCAATAATACAAAATGTTATAATTTTTTGTTTTGTTTGTTATAAAATGATTTTAAGGAACAACAACCTTAAGGATCTTTCATTTCAAAGGGTAGAAATGACATCTTGGCAATTGCTACAGTCACACTAAAGCATTTAGGGCGTGTTAGAGGTGTTGGATTTGGTATAGGAATCAGAGATTACTTTAGAGCACCTGCACGCCCTAGCAGCTTGGTTGTTGTTGCAAGAGAGAGGAGCTGGAAAGTGTAATGAGAAATATAAAGCAACAAGTAATGAAGGATGCTGAAGCTTCATTTGAAGCTCATTTAAAAGCCTACTTGGAAGCCCGGCTTGTAAAAATGAAAGAGGAGATGATGACTTTTATGACCTCACGACAAGAGACGACTGTTGGAAGCATGAAAGGGAGTAATGTTCTTGGATGTATGTCAAAGGGTCCTTTAGTGGGAAACATTGGTGAATCATGTGAGCTATATCTAAAGGATCCTAATAGATGCTTGGTTGCTCTGGGCAGCGTTCACACTTTGGGACAAATTGTCCACCATAAGCAAATGCAACAAAGTTAGAGTTGTGGTAGAAGATGTAAAAGTAGCAGAAGTGCTTGTTCTATTCCCTACCAATGAGGTCAAGACTGTGTCTAAAGATGTAAAAGGCATGCAACATTTTATTAAATATTTCATGCATTTTATTAAATATTTCTTTCTTACCATGTTTTTTAATTAACTATCTCTTGCCTTTTCAGTTTCCCTTGCCAAACCATCCTCTACCAAAACTTCCATAGCCCTCATTGCAACAACAACCACTGCAATTGACTCCTCTCCAACAAATAATTTTACTGGCCTATGATAAATCATTCTAACAAATAATTTTCTAATGATGATTGAACGGGAAGATTTAAATTGACTTTTCTAGAAAAATCAGCTTACCACAATGTCAAATGAGTTATTTATGCTATAAATATGTTTTACTTGAATATAATTAACTTATCAAATTTGATCAACTAACATGATTGCATTATCACAAGTACCTCCATCGTTTGCGCATTACATTGAGCAACAGTGATAATTTCATATCTCTTTACCTTTATCACATAATAGAGAAAGGAAATACTTTGGAAATAAGCTCCTGGTACCTCCAGTAATGAATATGTGAAGTCAAAAAGGATGTTTTTATAGCTTCATATGTGCACTCATAAGGACCAATTTACGATTGATAGTTTTTTGTTAAATAGGAATTTCTTTTAATAACTCACCCTATTTTGTAAGGACTCCTAGCAACTGATTGTACTTTCATTAAAGAGTAGCATAGTCCTCTTCTTATGCTCCCTCTATTACAAACTAAACAAGGACATAAAGAAGATGATAGACTTGTAAGTGTACTTACACAAAAACTATCAATTTTTATCGATATATTAGTTACAAATTTCATGATGTTGATCATAAGGTAATGAGAACATATCAAACAATGGTCCTGAAAAAGCACGCACGTGAAACTAAAGGATCCTATGTGGATCGAGCCAAAGGTGTAACAGTACGGAGCCACCCCTTGGGCCTCGACTCGGTACTGGACTCTGGCCCATCACTGGACCAAAGCCGACTTTCCCACAGGTGGTACTGTGGTTATTCCTCACCACTGCCTCTCCAGGGTCTTTTGGAACCTCCCCAGACTCGAACCTCCAACCTCTACCACCTTAATGAAGTTGAGGCGAAGTCTGGTACCATTGAGTCAAGTTGACTCAATGGTACCAGACTTCGCCTCAACTTCATTAAGGTGGTAGAGGTTGGAGGTTCGAGTCTGGGGAGGTTCCAAAAGACCCTGGAGAGGCAGTGGTGAGGAATAACCACAGTACCACCTGTGGGAAAGTCGGCTTTGGTCCAGTGATGGGCCAGAGTCCAGTACCGAGTCGAGGCCCAAGGGGTGGCTCCGTACTGTTACAAAAGGTAAGTTAAAGTAATACTTTATTAACTTATTCAAGTATCAATATTTATTGCCGATTCCCAATTGCTTATATATGTGTTTTTATCAGTGATTTGAAAATCGGACTAGACTAAATGGTCAAACCAATTCGACCATTGACTGGTCTGGATTTTGGTTCAGTCAATATATGAAAACTGTTTTAGAGGTTGAGTTGGGTTGAGCCGTTTTAGACCGGTGGTCGAACCGAGGACTGGAAACAAGTCAAGAATCAGATCTAGTTTTTAAGAACCAAACTGTTCAAAAAAAACTTTTTTTATTTTTTCTTTGAATTTTTTTTAGGAAATGACTAATTTTTTTAATCACTTGATGTTATATTGTGTCATGTGGCTTGTTAAGTCATGATAAATTTAAAATATTTTATTTTTCTTAAGTTAGTAGCAATTTCATATTTATTTCTTATATTTAGATTATTATATACATGTATAATTTTTTAATTCAATTATTATGTTACCAGTTTAACCATTGGTCCAATTAAATTGAACCATATGAATCATAAATCGCTAACTTTTTAAATTCAATATTCAATTTGATTCTGAAAACATTGGTTTTTATACAGAGTCGTAGGCAACCACAAAAAACTAGTTTGTATAGTGTATATGTGATAAGACACATGCTCAACATCATCACAAGAAATGACTAAATTTACAAATGATGTAACTATATTTTTTAAAAGCTAATTTTATTGTTATTTAAATTAGTTAGTTAATGTTACTTTAATTTAAATGTTTGACACTGTGGATTCATTCTCCAAGGAAGAGGTTGACAACATCCTCACACGTTAGGAAAAATATTTTGCGGATGGTATTTGAGGTTTGGATAGTTTTTTAGGAAATTGTATAGGCCATTTGAGTTTTGTGTAAGTTCTATAAAATTTTGCTTTAAAATTTGGATTATTTATATGTATTGAAACTAGCTGGCTGGCAAAAAAAATTATATAGAATATTTTCATTTGCAAGAATTAAGAAAATAACTAGAAACAGAATTAATTGTTTTGAAAAAACCACTTTTAACAGGACTTTTAACATTGGTTATACTTTTAAGCCCTATTAAAAGCCCCCTTTTGTTCAAAAAATGCAATCAATGGGCAACTTTTAACTGTGAACTTAGAATTATTGTTGAAAGTTTATTTTTAACAATGGTTGAACAACAGTTGTTAAGAGTTGCATACTTTTAACATCTCCTGAAACAATAACAATTCTATAACCACTGTTGAAAGAGTTTTTTACCTAATATTAAAAGCCTATCCTGTAATAGTGAGTAGACATAGAGTTTTAGCTTCATAAGTTATAATCACTATAACTTAGTATTTATTTTCATTAATCAAAACACATTTACATCATTAGCTTACATCTTTACATCTAGGTGAATTGAGGTAAGGGAACTCGAGGACCCTTTATTCATTTTTAAGACGCTATGTCTTTAGCACGCCTAGTAGTTTATTATTCAAACACAATGATCAACTTGTCACGAACACCAAGATTATAAGATTAATGTGTATTTTTTCCTCTAAACCATTTTTTAGAGGAGCAAATATCCCCCTCCATTAATGGATCACTAATAGAGGGGGGTTTTCAATCCTCAGAAAAATGGTTTGGGGGAAAAAATAACCCACGTATTAGTACATTATCCAATACTTCTCAAAGGAAAGTATAGGAGCAAAAATGCACTTTAACCTAGAAGTAATATAAGTAACTACTTTAATTTAAGCAATGACTACTTGTTTTCTAGTAATATTTGCACAAGGAAAGTTATAATTGCTTGTTCCATTATGGTCATTGTCAGAAGAAAAATAATTATTACTTAAACTAAGTAGTCATGGATATTTACAATACTTGGACTTCAGTAAATAAAAAATTTACATAGGAAAAGTTGAAATTAGTTGTTTTATTCTAGTCATTGCCAAAAAAAAAATTAATCATTGCTTAAACTAAAGTAATTACTAATATTTTTTTATTTTAAACAATGGGTATTTTAGAAATTTCACAAACAATCATTAATATCAAAAAGGTCCCTTGGGACTTAAGAGGAATCATGAAATTTTATGAGATCTCGTTGTCTCACATATTTTAGGGGGATTAAAGTACATTTTTACTTCTATACTTTCCTTTGAGGATCATTGGGTATCCTATATTAATAAGTGGAGCATTTTTTTCTCTTAAATCATTTTCTAGAGGAATAAAAATCCTCTTTGTTTTTCCAAAAGGGCAAAAATTTCCTCATTAGTGATCCATTAACAAAGGGGAATTTTGTTCCTTTGAAAAATGATTTAAGGAAAAAAAAATTCTCACTTATTAATACAAGATGTTCAGCTCTCCTCGAAGGGAAATATAAGGGCAAAAATGCACTTTAATCTTTCATAATAAAAATTTATATATTTATAAATATCATTACATCCTTTTTTGTGGCAAAAAATAAAAGGGAGAATGACAAGTAAATCACATCAAAATAAGTGAATGATAGATGGTACCACAAAATGGGATAATTACTTCGATAAGACTTATCTTACATAATTTTTGTGAAATTACTTTTCTGACCCTAAGCAAAATAATAATAAAAAACATAGTTGTTAAAATTTAAATTAAAGTTGTTAACAACGAAGGTATAGTTGCTAATATAGGAAACTTAATTATTAGTTTACTTATGCAATAACAATTACATTTCATATATTAACAACTTCTACTTAGTGAATAACAGATTCAGTTTAAGTATTAACAACATAGTTTATTATAACTTTAATTTAATAATGCAATAACAACTACGCTTCCTATATTAACAACTTTACATTTATTATTGATCATTTTATTTTAGATTTTAACAACTAATCTTATTTTGTAGAAAATTAGAAACATAATTTTACCCCAAAAAAAAATATGACAGATAAGTCCTTAAAAACTCCAAAGTAACTATCTCATTTTGTAATACTATTTTATCATTTACCTATTTCAAGAGGATTTCTTTAACATTTTCCCAAAATTAAATAACTTCCAATTTTCATTTTGGCAGGAATAACAAAATCACACATCTTTATTTCTTCACAGAATCAACGAACAAATAGGCATACAGGTATACAGTACAGATATGCTAGAACATTTCTACCCTCACAAAATCACATCTTTATTTCAACCTTCTCATCACATAAATCGGTATAAAGACAATGTGCAACAACGGTCCATCAATTGGCTAGGCAAATAGCCACCTTATGGGAAGTAGAAGACAGAATTATGTATATATTGGGGACAAAACAACTGATGAAAAACAAAATGGCTATTATATATGATGTAGAATTTAATTATGAACGATATGTAAGGATCAGGCAACGTATTCGAACACAGGGTTCTCCTGATTCAATCTTATCTGTTTGACTTGACTTATCTTGTCCAAGTCATTTTCTGTAAGTGACCAATCAAATATCTCCAAGTTCTGTTTCATTCTCTCTTTGCTGTAACTCTTGGCAATAAAACCCACTCCTTGCTCATACAGCCATCTCAGAGCCACCTATTTATTACACAAAAGGAATTGCAATGAAAGATATTATCATTTCATCACATTGAACTACGGCAGTAAATAACTGAACCAGTATTATCATGAACAAAGTAAACACTTCAAAAACCTGTGCAACAGATTTGCCATGAGATTTAGCAATGTCAGTGAGAATTTCATTGTCCAGGATCCGATTGTTGCCCCATCTTGTACCTGGAGCTCCCAAAGGAGAATATGCTGTTATAAGTATTCCTTTTTCTTTGCAGTATTCTCTTAGCTCCATTTGTTGACATGTAGGGTTCATTTCCACCTGTATCATCATATAATAACAGAAAAATACTTTAACTTCACCTCAACGTTTCCTTTTAAAGGTCAAAAGTCAGCTTATAGTTAAATATTTAAAGGATCATTATGATATATATATATATATATTTTTTTTTTTTTGGGTAGAGAAGATCATTATCATATTTTTATTATATCTTAGTATTACCTCTGTTTTAAATTATAAGACACTCTTGCGAGATTTTTAGCATTCAAAAACATAAGCCTTTGACAAAAGTAAGATTTCATTGATGATGCTTTCCAATATTATCTTTTACATTATATTTTCTCTCTTCAAAATTCTTTCATATAATTGAGTATTAAGTGAAGGACATTTTTGAAAATTTATATTTTTTTTAAAAAAATAAAGTTACATATATATTTATATATTTATATATAATGAGCTTTATTAGTATGTATAATTTTGTTCAAAAGTGTTTCATAATTTAGAAAGGAGTGAGTATCATATTTAAATACAATTAGGCCGTCCAATTATTAAAGTGGATATGACACCACATCAAAACTTTAAGACATTAAATTTATGAATATTTTTACTTATATACCTTTTTCTCCGACTCAATTGTGATTAATGTGGAACTTCTTTTTATATCAAGTCAAGTCAATTCACACTTGATATGCTACCAATTGGAAGAATAACCATGTGCCAACAAGTACCAGTGAAGATATCAACAATGGTAAAGCAAGCACCAGAAACACGCGTAAGAAGAACGCGTAAGAAGAACACTTCAAGATTAGGATTTATAGTCTTACTTGATTCAGACAAGGATGAATAGCAGCGACTGGCAATAAACTCTCAAGTGTCCTCACAGGGAAGTTACTGACTCCAATTGATTTTGCGAGACCCAATTTTTTGCAGTCTTCCATTGCTGACCACACGCCCTTCATATCTAATGGTGCTATATTCTCTTTTGATGGGAATAAACCGTCGCTCTCAGGCTTTGCACTGAAGGGCATGTGGATCAGATACAGGTCCAGATATTCCAGTTTTAGTAACCTGCAAAACCCTCACAAGATATGAATTTTGAATTCCATGCAAGGTACTGAAAACTGAACTGGCTATTGAATCCGTGAAGACATTAATTCAATGATTAATTATCAAAACTATAGTCAGACCATGATTAGACTAGGCATAAACAAAATATTTTATTTATTAACAGATTACCGATTCAATCAGGTGGGTTGACCCAAATTTTTTTTCCCTTAAAAAAAAAAAACAGTTGAAGCTCACCAGAGAGATTTTTGGAGAGCAGGAACGACACGATCTGGATGAGCATCAATGAACCAAAGCTTCGAAGTGATGAAGAGTTCGTCCCTGGACCCGACAAGCCCAAGTTTGAGAGCTTCTTCTATGGCTTCCCCTAGTGGCTGCTCGGTCCCATAAAGTGAAGCAGTATCAAAGTGTCTGTACCCGGCTTTGATAGCCTCCAGGACTGCCATCTTGGTGACCTCGCCGGGAATTTGAAACGCGCCGGTGCCTAGGCCGATCACCGGCATACTGTTGCCGTCTGGGAGAACCACTCTTGGGGTGTTGTTGTCGGACATGTTGTACTGTGACTTCTCAAGGTAGCCAAGGATTTGGATTGATGTTCAAGCTTGAGAAATTGTTTCACTAAAGACTGCTTATATAGGATTGCCTATTGAGTGGCATTGACTTGAGCAATGATCGTGAATCATGTATTTCATTTTAATTTATATAAGATGCCTCTGAAAAATAAAATCTTGTTCGAATTAGGAGTTATCTAATATAATCAAAATATCAAATGACGTTTCATTTTTACCTCTATATTTTTAGTAGTTTTCTTGTAATTTGAGCCCAAACATTATGATATTTTTGAACCAATAAAACAATTTAGGGAAAATATAATTGTTAGTCCATATAATTTTAGCATGTTTTGATATTAACCTATATAATTTTTTTTCCATTGTTACTGGTCTTTTAAGTTTTACCCTTCCACAATGTTAATTCCTATATTTTTAAATATATAATTATAAAAATTTAACAGTGGCTACTGTGTACATAAACGTCATTGTTTCTTGTGTTGATTTGTTAAAATAACGATGATTTGTTTAAATACATGAATAGAAGGCAAAAAGAAACAAGAAGGACATTAAATAAGAATCTTTAAATGCATGATCAGAGAAGCTTCAAAAGAAAGAAGATGCGATAGATATAGGATAGAAAGGCATAAAAGTTAGTAACTGTTTTGCTCATATAATATCCAACCCATCATAATTTTATCAATTCAATAACAAAATTAATAGAATTATGTACATATTAGCATATTTAAATTTTCCAGTGACAATCAAAACTATTAATGTTGTGGACATATAAAATTTAATATAATACTAGAAGCAACGAAAAAAGCATCGAAACTAAATCAAAACATGCTAAAAGTATATATATGCAGGGGAACCAACCATTATATCTTCCCAATAATTTAATAATTTTTGTAAATCTATATGAAAAATATTAAAAACATCTTTTAATTTATTAGGACCGAATGGATTGAATAAATTAAACTAAAGTTTGATGAGGAAGAGAAGCAACCTTATTTTACTGGCTCTGGCTCATTAATTGAATAATGGAATAAATGCATTACACGGCAACATGTCGAACCATACAAGTGTTTGGTCAAAAGTCAAACTTCATAAACAAATGCAGAGATATATAAACATAGCTCCTTATTAATTAAACATATCTTTAACCATTGACTTCTGTAGAAGAAAGCTACAGAAAATTTACCTCTTTCTTTTTAAAAAAAATATTTACATTCTAAATGGATTTAATTCTTATTCGGGCTATCGATTCTTGCTTGCATGATCTGCAAAGACGATTCAGTTAAGTATTGTATTCTGAAATTTATAGTCCAGCTGAGTATATACTGCACCATGTCTGCAATAAGAATCCTTCAATTTATGTCCATTCTTCTCCTTACTATATTTCTTTTCCTGTGTTATTAAGCATTACTGAAGCTGAAGCTAGTACTTGTGTCGGGGTCCTCAACCGATGAAGAATATACAATGTCTGGTTAAAATCCAAAACACAGTTTGGGTGGCCTAAACAGAGGGTTTGGTTCCAAAAAAAAAAAAAACCTGAAATTACACCTTTAATCTTGTTTAGGAAAAAAATGATGGAAAATGACTTGTGGCTCCCAACTATGTGATTAGGAAAAAAATTAAAGCTGAATTTTTTTGTTGTTAGCTCTTGGCTTTTGTGCTTATTTGTGAAAACATAAATCCCGTTAAAAAAAGCCAATCAGATACAAACAAAAAAATGACAATAAAATCCTATCAAAATATATAAATGACAATCAGGTCCCTCAAAATATTATAATTCCTCTAAAGTCCTTATGTATCTTTTTGACATTAATGATTTTAGATTAAATGACTAAATTACCCCCTTTTTAAAATACAAAATAACAGGTTCATATGGAAAATTATGATTTTCTTATTCAATTCGATTCACAAAATAAAAATTGTAATTGATTATTTTTAAAACTTGGACTTTAATGATAATAGAAATTTCACGTGAAAAGTTGTGATTTTTTGTTCAATTTTTATGATTGACATAATTAAAGTTGTAATTGTTTAAATAAAAGTTGTAATTGGGACTAGTTATTTTCAGAACTTATTTACCAATCATAAAAGAAATTAGACATGGAAAGTTATGATTTCTTATTCAATTTTTGAAATTCACAAAATAAAAGTTATGATTTCTTATTCAATTTTTGAAATTCACAAAATAAAAGTTATGATTAGGAAAATAAAGTCAGACCCTTATATTTATTAAGGGACAATTTGGTTATTTAACTTAAAATCATTATGTTAGAAAGCTAGTCAGAGACTTTAGAGAAATTATGACATTCTAAGAGACTTGATTGTTATTTATATATTTTGGTGAGATTTTATTATTATTTTTTGAATATAAATCACGTTAAATTGATTTTTAATAGGTAGGGATATCGAGTTTGGTATTTCTTTTTTTAGTTGACCATATTGCTCAAATGAGCGGGTCTGATTTTATTAGAAAATATCTAGTCTCTAGTAACGAAGTGAACCAGTAAACACCCCCCTCTCTTTTTTTCTCTCACTTCCAAATCACTCTAGGCTTTGTTGTTGACTGGTTAAGTCAATTTTTTAGTATGGTTAACATTCATAAGAGGGAACTGATTTAATCTGTTTGGCAACAAAAGAAGCTGATCGAGAAGAGCATATTGCGCATTGACCTTTTGGAGGCAAAAGCCAGTTGCTTATGGAAAAACAATACCTAGGTTAATCTTCTAAAATTTAGTTCTATTCATTTTCAGCATTCTTAATTTTTTTCCTAATAAATTAACACATTTTTCAATATTGTAACGAAATATTGATGATTCCCTCTTTTGTGTTATAATTGAGGTATTTTTGGTTATATTTTGGGAGTCATCAATATAAAAGAGAAGCATTTTCATGTTTTTATAAAGAGAATTTAACCAAGTCATTAAATGGATTTAATGTAATATTTTCAAGGAAATTGTTTAGAATTGTTGAAATTGAAATAGGCAAAATATTCCACTCATGAATATTGATTTTTTATAGGTGGGAATGAAAAGCTTAAGCAAGGAAGAGAAGGAACTAGAGATCAAATTTTGAAAGATTCTCTTATGCCAAGAAACAGCAATTTAGGTGCCACAAAACCACTTGTAATATACATAGAACTGCACTCTGGTGCAGTGGCACCATAGGAGTGCCATGGCACCTATTAAAAACCCAAAATGCTGAGTTTCATTTTCTAAGTAAAAAATCATTTTAGTTCAATTTTTTGGGAGAGAACAGCCATCTTTCACCATGTAAACTTACAGGCTAGGAGAGCTAAAGGGAGAATCTAAAAGTTTGAGATCGAGAAAAAGTGAAGCAAATCTTCAACTCTATTTCATTTATCAACATTTTCTCTTCTTCTTTTTTCTTTATATTGATGGATTTGAACTTTACTTGTGCTGTCATGTTATTTTTATCCAGGTATTTGTAGCTAAATTTCTTTGTTCTAGAGGATTATAAAATTATTTGTATAAATAACTTTTGATTTACTATTTTTTTGTTGAGAAATTAAAGGATATGTTGTTTACTTGTTCTTGTGCTATTTTGTTTTTATTTAGTGTTTGGCCATCACTAAGTGAGATTTGGGCATTGGAGTTAAACTTTGGAAGTGAAAACTCATATTGAACCTTGGAAACTAGTCGCCTGAGATTAGTTAACTTAGCTAATTTTGCCATTAGAACAGGAATATATTTAATGGACCTAGGTAATCCTCATAAGTTTGGGTCTCTAATGCAGTTAGCTAATTAAGGTGTGATGTGCACAAAATTTTAAAACACACCAGGAATCAAGATCTCACAATGAACTAAATATAAGGAATTGGCACAAACGGAAGTTGTTTTCATCTCAATTAATTTATCCCAACAAAAGTGAAATTTTTGTTAAATTTAAAAATATGAATAAAATAAAATAAGATAAAAGAATGAATCCGAGATATGATTAACAATTACAGAGTTCCCTAGGAATTCTAATTCCCTTTTTATACTTTGCAATTCAAATTATTCCAGTTATCATGTTTTAATTTACCTTTAAAATCAAAGATCAAAATTGGATTATGTATCGTCAATTACAAAACCAATTATCTAAGTCTCTAACTATACTCTAATGTCTCAAGCAAGTCCTGATCCAATTATGCACAAACCTTAAAAGATTACTTATGGTTCTTGAGCATATGTCTATCTCAAATGCAAATTAGATTAAATCCAATCCTAGGTTGCTTAATATACGATCTCTTTGAGATTTTTTTTTGTCAAAGGAAAAAGTCAAGATCCAAATACACACTAAAGTTGGCCACTAAAGTTGGCCACAAATAGTATGGGAACAAAAATAAGTCTTATTAAGCATTAAAGCGTTCATCAAAAGTGCCAAAAAGAAATCTATCTACAAAAAATTAAAAGTTTATACAATCCCTAAGTATAAAAGAAAAATAGCCACTCATGGCTCCAAATACGCAAAAGAATTCAAAAACAACACAAAGAATCAAAGACATGAAGTAGAAGAAGAAGAGAATCCAGAAAAGTCCCCTGAGGATATTCCATGATGACTCTTCAATCTTCAATCTAGCCTCCAAACCCTTGATTGATGTTCCAAAAGTGTCTTCTCAGTTTCATGTCTAAACTTTGATGCTCTTAAAAGTTTGATGGGGCCTTATTTATAACTTTTTGGCACCCTTTTGGCCTCTAATTACTGTTTTATCTCACGTGATTTTATAAAATATTGATTAATTTTGCATTTGGATTTTAAATAAAATTTTGCCAATTGTTTTTCTCCATGTCTGTGCGCAGTCGTACACTTTAGTCTCGTATCCACGCGTGATCGAACGGCGAGTAAGCAATCTTCACGAGTGGTCAAGTGTCGAGTCTCAAGATTTCATGCATTCTTCACACATGGACGAGATTCAAGGCAAGGATTCCTGCATGCTTAGTTACGTTCGGCCATGGAAGAGTCTTCTTCGTCACTTGTTTGCCAGCGAACAACTTTCGTTGGGCTTTGATCTGGTACTTTTTGGCTTTTTATATGTTATTTTTGCTCCTTTTGCCTGAAAATG